ACAGGGCTCTTTCTGGTTTATCTGGTAATGAAGGTGATTAATTTTTCTTGAATCTGCCTGTCTTTATATTTTTATCCTATGAGTACATTTCTATCCATCACCACCTATTCCTCTTCACTCTGGTCTGACACTTTTCTCTTTTTTCTTCTATTTGCAAGACTATGGATAGAAACCTTTTCAAAACTGTTCTTTGGTAAGATTTTATTTACACAAATACAGCACATGGCACAGCACAGATGAAGTAAACTTTATGACCAGTTTTCCTGAAGGAAATCCTTGCTCCACTAATTGTGTGATCCCTGCAACTTTAGGGGAACACCAGCATTTTTGAGTAAGCGGAACATATAGAAGTAAACTTGTAATTACATAATCCATTATCTAATCTCAACAGGATTTTTGCAATAATGATATAAACCTTAAATCCTCTTTTTTTTTCATGAGAAAAGACTGGAAGAAAAGGTCTGACTCTTGGCCTGCAGTTTTCTGAACAGGAATAGAAACAAAACACATTAGCTAGGATAACCTGAAGAGAAATAACTTAAGGAAACTTTGGGTACCTACAAGATGCCCACTCTTAGTATGTAATTTAGATTTTACTCTGTATCTGGTAGAGTTAGGCACACCATATAGAAACATATTCCAGCCTGGGCACTTCTTTTAGCATGACATTTAATTTTTCTTGCCTACTGCTTGCCACTGGCTAGGAGAAAGGCCTAAAAGAACAGCTTGTGGATTCCTGGCTAATACCAGATGAGATGAAATCTCTGGAAGGTCATTTCCTGTGGCTAGGCTAAGTTCTTGCAGTAAAAAAAGCCCCATATCTTGTCAGTCTTATCTCATACAAAGTCCACTTTAAAACAGTTTTAAGCCCCCACAATGGTTATGTTTATAATTCTTTAATTTATTGTGTTTTACTTTAAAATTGGGGAAGACTCGGCTAATTCATAGTGATTTATTGAGCTGAGTCACTTGGTTTTGGACTGTGTGGTCATAATAACTTCCTCTATGACAAAAATATTTGTTTTGCCTGAAAGGCTGTCTTTTTTTTTGGTGAAATATGTCTAATTTTCGGAATAATTTAGAAAATTAACATAGTAGAAAGAAAAAAGTTATATGACTCTTATCAGGTATTAGATGGTGTTTTATGTCTTGCAGCTGAATTTCAGGGTACACAAGAAAAGGACTACATTGTCTCTATAATTGAAGTTAGAAATACAGGTGACTTATGGAAGTTAGTTTCCAGACATAGGACACTATTGGAAAAAGTAGTCTTGAGCAAGTTTATCACTGTATATAAAGTATATAAAAGCACTCTTTCCCAAAACTTTGTATACATTTTGGTCATTTCTAACTGAGTTTCCTAATCTCTCAAAATCAAATTAAGCTCTCTGTAGCAAAAGTGTTAATCCGTTAATCCTGTTAGTACATTCCTGTCAGTTGTATCTAGACCATCTTTGAAAATGTCCAGACAAGAGTGAAAAAACATGATACTGACTTTTTTTCCCACAGCTTTCGTTTTTTTGAAACAGAAATTTGCCTGATATCTGCTGTCCAAAAGTCATAGACTTTTCTTTTGAGTTTTAAAGCTGAAGGGCTTAGAGGGACTCATAGCAATCTAATAATCACAACAAAGTGACTAAAAATGTCAAATAAAATGTCTAGATGTGCTAGCCAATCATCTAAATCATCCACCAGAGAGTTCTCAACAAGAAAATATTGCATTACAGGATAGCCATGGCCAATTGCTCACAGGTTTTATGAAAAATTAGGCTTTTAACTGTTTAGACAATTGTGCTAAATTTTAAGAAAATGAAAAAAACAACTGAATCTGAAATTAATAACAAAAAAAAAATGGTACATTTTTAGTGCTAGACATCTCTTAGAACTTACAAAATGCTTGTCATCTTAAGGAGAACCAAGATGTAACAAAAATTGCGATGGCATGCCACCTGTATTTTAAAACGGTCTAGACATGCACATAACAGGCATTTGTGTGTCTGTAAAGAAAGAGGGCAGGCAGAAGAAACAAACCCAAGCAAATTTGAAATGTACCTTAAGATATGCCACAAAACTGTGGCTGGAATACAGCACAGTTGTAAAAGATTTTCTCATATAACTAAAAGGTCAAAGCAGTATGACCAGAACAAAAAAAAAAAAAAAAAAAGTTTACAACAATTTATAAATTTCTAATATTTGGTTTCAAAAGTTCTAGACAGAGGTGAGATGTAGAATTTCTATGGAATCTTTTTTGTTCTACCTAACCAGATATTGACTGCTATCACCCAAGGACACATCAAACTATAGGCAATCATTGATCCAATATAGCTTTGGTTTTCCGTTATAAAGGGTTCCCTTCCATTAGAGTTTTAAAAGATGTAGTGTGAGAAAGTAAAGACCCTGTATTCATGACCTGGAATAATCTACTCTTTATGAAAGGCTGACAAACCACAGAGAATCAAAGAATGTGCCTGCGGCTACAGAGGTTTTATCTGAGTCTAATCTCGGGGACACTAGAAAATTCAATGCATAATTGAAGATTCATCAAAAAGAACTTCACAGATTAAAAGATACGTTTACTGTGTGAATGAGAAATCCTGGAGTGTTGCTTTGCTTTTGTGTTGTTTGAAGTAATTTTTTTTTTTTAAATTTCAAGAATGAAAGGAAAGCTCAAGGAAAATGAATAATTGTATCAGGTGTTGGTTTGTCCTCGTAAAATGCAGCAGCTTTCTCTGTGGAAATGAACTTTCTATATATACCAATGCATCAAACCCTATACCTCACCTACCAAGTAGGCCACAGCCATCTATAATTTGCTGTAGGATTCAACACTTTTCTGTAGTTTTCCTTTACAGATCTTGGGCACAGAATAAAAAAGTAAAAACACAATCCTGCTGCAATTCCCAAACTGAAAGAAACGTGGATGTCTTTTCTAAATCCGACTTTTGGGATAATTTTTTATAAAACAGCATACAGTTTTGAGCTGTGTATGAGACGCTCATGATGGAGATCTGCCTGGATCTGTGTTTGTTTCTGGGTCAGCCTCCTGCCACAGGCTCACAGAGCAGAGTGTGGGCACTTTTCAGCCAGGAACACACCTCCAGTTCAGAGCAGATGTAGAACAGGAGAATGAAGTGCCGACTATTGACCTCTAAGAACACTGAATCACTTTTTACAATAAAATAGGAAGCAATTTGTTTTCAAGAGTGTGAGAGAAAGTTTCAGGGACATTTCCATAGACAAAATGCTTAAAAGTACCACATTGAGTTTACAGATCAATTTATTCCAAGGGATCACTTATGCCTCAAAGCTATGTCAAAAAACACCACTGCCAGAAAAATGGACCATTAAATGCCCAATACAGCATGTGACCAGCCATGCTGTGCTTGGTGACAGCAAAATGACAGAGGCAAGGAAGAGGATGACAACAGTCCCCCATGGAGTGAACAGATCTCTATTTTGAGGGAAGGAGAAAATAATGGCTGAATATGACTAAAAAACAAATGGCAGGAAAAGAGACCAACAAGCTAAGAGGCATCTGTGTTCTGTGTTTTTTCAAAATTTGAATAATTCTCTGTGAGGGTCCTGAGAAACTGCTGTATCTCAGCTGTTCTGGACTGTATGTGGGACCTCTGCCTATGATGTTGGGGTCCCCATATAAGCTCGGGTCCAAACCTAAGCTATGCTGCAGATGAACCTATATTCAATCCCATCTCTGATCTTGTGACCTGGACCAGCACTAACGATAGCTTGTCTCTAGTCCTGTCCATGGACTGTGCCTCCTTGGATAGGCCTTGGAGCTGTTTATCCTTTTGCTGTTGCAGAATGCCTGTGCAGACCTGGTTCATCATCTCCCCTTCTCTAGGACCACTGATGGGGGATGCTTCCTCTGGTCCTTTCCTGAGCTGTCTGTTGGCAGCTGTGCCACTTTTGCTGCGTCGCTGCTCCCTTCTTCGCCAGCCTGGCTCCCTGTCCTTGTCCCTTCCTGCCTTGTCCCTGGGTCTGCCTCATTGCTGCAGACTCAGCTGATGGTCACTAGACCTGGGTTGATCCCTGCTGCTTCCCTGAGCTGCTGGCCTTGCCCTGTGCCCTGCCTGTGCCTGCCACAGTTGGCTACCTGTTCCCTTGATGCATGAGAGAAGATTCATGCTCCCTGCTTGGAAAGGCAATCAGAGCCAATAATTCCCTAAATATTAGTGGAAATGTGATTTATTTAAATTTGCTCAGCAAGTCTTCCTCTGCTTTGATAGACCATTCTGAAGCCTTCAGAAACGAACCCAAATCTTCCTTTTCACCTCAGCTAGCCCTACTTTGGCAATGAACACAGGCACAGGTGACATCTGACAACTCAGTCCTATTCTAGTAGGGAAATTCTCACCCACTTCAAAGGGAGAAGGAAAAACCTCAGGTCTCAGTCCTTGAACTCACAAAGAAGATGACAAAAGTAGTCCCCTGCAGAGCCTCATTTAACAGGGATCTTTATGGCAAGGTGATCTTATTAACTTGCACAGGGGATGTGCATGGGGTATGTGCAGGATCTCTGCTAGTACAGACATAGATATAAAATGGGTATGCTTATTAAGAAAATGTCATGTAATGATTCACTACAATTAATGACTTTATAGCACAGTATCATTATTTAGAACTAGCACCATATATATACTCTCTTAATACAGTTAAATAAAACTGCATTATTATAGTCAATAATCATATTAATACTGCATTATTAGTCAATAACTGTATTAATAAAATTAAAATTTACTTAATATGTCCATAATTGAATATGTTTTTTAATTATAGAATGCTAAAGAGAATTGTAAATATTTAGTTTCCTAAGCAGTTCCTAAGCTTATTTGTCCTACTTATAGATGTGGGATACTGGAGTCCCTTGAGAGTCTGGTAAAAACTATTTCTACAATCAGACTTTTATTAATAAAGTTCAGTGGAGTATAATTTGACAAAATACTGATACTATTTACAGACAAAAAAAAAATATTACTTACCTCCATTGTCTTTTAGGTGCAGTGCTATCTTGGTGTCATCTATAAGGAAATTCAAAGTTAGTAGAAGGAAAATGCATTTTTCTAGGTCATTAATCACTTTACCAATACATTTCTAATGATAAAAACGTTCCACAACAATAAAATCATTTGGTACTCAACTCAATAAGAACTAGATAGTTCTCATTGTGGTTGTGGTTTTTCTTACATCGAGCACTACACTTTCTTATCACTAAAAATAAAATAAATTTGTGAGAATGTTAAAGCATTCAGGAGGATTCAAATCACTAACAAATAAGGGTATGAGAGTCTGTCTCATAATGTTTATAAATAATTCATATATGTTGCATGTTCACACATAGCTTGAGCATTCTATCATATTGAGGACTATATGAACCAACATATGTCAGTAAAGTAAGACAATGACTTAGTTTCTCTTAGTTTCTTTTTGAAGAAGCTTGGAAAGGTCTACTGATACTAAACCCTATTTACTTCCATATTCTTCTTTTTCTTGTGAATTTTAATGAACAGAATGCCAGAGAATATTCCTTTTAATGCAGTCCAAATGCTGCACTGACAGTTTCTAGACGTTTATTGCTTTAAACAAAACCAGCCTTTCTTATCAGTAGATTCCCACCTTGAAATACCTTCAGCTCAGATTTTCCTGTCACAGGCTACTTGGAAAATCTGTACCTGGTACTTTTTTTTTTTTTGTGTTAACATACAATTTCAACACACACACACACACATTTCATGGATGTTACTTGATTAATCTGAATTAGCTTTCTTGCCCAGATGAACTTCCTCCAAAAGCAGGAAAGCAGGATATCCCAAGCTCAAAAAGGTAAGATTTAAGCAGCCATTGGTACAAGGATGAGTACTGACCCACCATTGCTCACCCAGTTAATTCAATTCAGAAGCCTAGAGAAACTATTTCACAACAGTAAGTGCTATATGAAAAGAACAGTGTCAACTGACAGAAAAAAAAGTAAATATGCATATTTAAAAGAGGTTTTTATGTTGGATTATCTATAATTTTCACCTGGCTAAATAGAATCCATAAAAGAATTACAAATTCACTAAGTCTGTGCTGGGAATTTCTTCTAGAATTAGCAGGGACCTTTACTATTACTCCTACTTCAGGAGGTTTTGGATTACTGTCTGAATGTAAAGGAACAAGAAAAAGTCACTGTAACCTCAAGTTTTCCTGAAGTCTTCCTAATTTGTCCTTCCTTTTCCATCAGCATCCTCTCCTTGAGCCTTCATCCTCTTTTCACCTTACTGGTGCAAGAGCGAGCAATTTAAAAGCAAGAGCCTGGAATGCAATTCCCAACTCCTTCTGCTGCCCCAGAGGGAGAAGGTTGTCATCAACACATACTTATAGGAAAGAAATTTCTTTCTGAGTTGTAAATTGCTTTTTTTCAAGTGCAAAAATGCAGTGTATACATATCACCTTCTGTGGGCAGGCTGGTTGGAAGGTGGGAAGTGGTGGATCCTCTGGTGGTTGTTAAAACTCTGAACCTTGTGGTGGTTGGCAGAAGGGTGGTGGTGGAGTACAGAGGTGTTTCTGTTGTGTCTATAGTCTTCTCACAAATCTTATCCTTTGACTGTTGGGAAACAACAGAAAGAAGGAAGAGAAAATTAATTCTCAGTGGAAACTGTCAAGAATGAAGAATTTAATCATGGACAAGTTGCTGTGATAAAAAGAGTGAAAATACACACTAGATAAAGAAATTTCAAGAGCTTTCTCTTTTAATTTTTTTTCCCTTTCCCCTTTCAAGTCTCTATGCAGCATTCAGCTTCATATATTATTTTATTTATCTGCAAAATTTACAACTCTTAATTGTTAATTACCAAGTCATTCCAGATTGTCAAACTTGTTATTTCCCTCAATCACAGTTTAACATTTAAGTTTATAATTCAGATTTTCACTCTTCTGTTATGAAAGCTCACTGCCATCAATCCAGGTGACATAAAACATGTTAAAAAAGATATGTGGGAATTAAATAGCAGCTCTTCGTAGTAAACAATGTGTAGTTAACTGGAGCATTTAATTAGGCTTTACATGGAATTACCACAAGGGAATACACATAGATGAATAAAATGTGTGCATGTATTCAGCCTATAGAATATTTATTTATTACAATAAATCAATCTTTTCACTATATGCCTATTAACTCTACATAATATTAAGATGTAATGTAATATTTGTATATATTAAACATAAACATATATGTATATATGAAAAAATAAAACACAATTACTATCAAATAGAAACATCAACAATAATAATATTATTATAATATATGAGCACACTATAAATAAAAGTCACTATCAAATAATAAATATTTATTTGCACAGGCAAATATTTTAATACAAATATGGAGTCTGCTTGCTTTTTTTTTTTTCTCCCTAGTTCTGGACATTTCTAAAGGTCTGAAGATGCAATGAATAATTTCCTTTATGGTTCACACAGTTTTGCAGGAAAATACATCCAATTATCTTTTAGGAAATACGGGAACTGTGTCTAACTCCTCCTGTCCCCCATTCATTTTAATGAGAAGTGGAGTCATGCAAACCTTTATTTCATTTTATTGAGATCTGGCCGTCAAAACCCCATGGGCATTGTCTTTTAATATTCACAGATATTTTATCATTCTTTTTTTACTCAAAACTATTTATTACAGAAATGTATCAGTACCTGTAGGATAATTATTCTTTACATTTCTTTGTATTTTTCTTAAAAAATACTTCCATTTCACTGATGTAATTTACCTAAAATTTAGCTCAAAATCTATATTAAAAATAAAAAACCTTACTATGAGAATCCTCATTATTTATCCTCTTGAGTGAAGCATCTAAAACTAACCATTGTGTGCTAATTATTGATCCTTCTGGGAGCTCTAGCAGTCAGCTCAAGCATAATTCTGGAGGATGCCAAGCAAACTGTTACTCCACAGAACCTAAAAGCTGAACAGTCAACTGCTACCAAGTTCCTCAAAACTGTGCAAATTAAACAATTAATTTCTCAGATACACTTAGTGTATTGATAATTTCTTCTCAGATCATGCACTAAATCTTGGAGAACATGCTGGACCGAAACAATAAAGGAGAAGCAGAAGGGAATGTTAATGTCCTGCAGAAAGAAGGTTTTTGATATCTTAATTTGAAAGCACAATTGAATCCTAGCTAATTGTAATCTGGATTAAAGCAATACAAGGACTGTGCACTATAATAACACATGCTTCCAATAACTTTAATCCTATGTTCTCGAAAAGGTTGCCCCCCACAGATAATAAACAGCTCAAAAATTTTGCTTTCAAATCAGCTGGTGACAAACTGCAAAGCCGAAGCTTCAAGGCAATGTAATAAGGCAGTAGGTAGGTTGCAGTTATTTTGCAATTACAGTTACAAAAAAAAAAAAATTCTTCCATTAATATGGATTTATAGCCTTACTTCTCTTTGCTTCTACTGAACATAAAACAGAATGTGCTTTTCTCGCTAGACACCTGGGGCTATGTTTTGCCCTGGGTTTCACCTGACATTTCAGAGGGCCTGTGTTGCTGAAACTCATGAGGATATTTAGCCTGTTCAGCAAAAATGGAAAAATAATTGCTTTTTTATGGCTACCTTCTTTTTTTATGAAGATTAAAAGTGCCATAAATTAATTTGTTCCTATTACCACAATCCCAACATGGAAAAAAAATAAAAAAAGAAAATGAAAAAAACCCCCAAACCTCAAACTAAAAGTGCTTGTAAAGGGGCTTTTAAATGGTAAAGTCATCATCGTCAATAATCATCATCATCATCATCAATAATCATCAACATATTTATAAATGTTTATTGAAAATTAACTTCTCTGGTCTAGGAGTACCCCAGATAACTTTCAGAAGAGGGTTATGGTCTGTGTTTGACAATCCACCACTACCACAGTCAGATATCTTTTTATCCTCTCACGGCATCTCCATGAGAAGAAATCAAAATGCCATGTAGGCTGGTTGCGTGAGGGCTTTTAAATTTTTATTTAAATTACTATTTTTATTTTATCTCTTTGAATTCATCTGTGTAATTTCTTCTTTACTAAATGATTTGGCCAGATTTCATAACCAAAATGCAATGTCCGCTTTTCAATTGAGGCTACTCTTGCAAAGGGTTTTCTGAAATAAGGAATATCACTGTTTCTTCCCTTTTTCTGGCAAAAGTCAGAGATCTAAAAGAAAATCAGCACAGGGATACTGTTTTGGAGGAGGCTTTCTAGGTTTTTTTGGGAGTTTTGTTTAATTAAAGTGTTTTCCCAAAGACAAAATTTTGATTTTTGTCCATTTCATTCCCTCAAATTGGGAGTGAAACTGCTCAGATTGTTCTTCTTTGTAATGCCTTATGGGATTTCCCCTGAATGATAAATATAGTATTTCTTTGGCCTTGAAACCATGCTTTATGATCTGAATAATTTAAACAAAAACATCATACCTACATAAATTGCCTCTGATGGGCTGAGGATGTAAACTACTCACATACCTCTTCAGGGCAGCCACTGTCTACCCAATCTTGCCGGTGACGATCAAATCCACTGGAGCATCTTTAAATGATGAAATAGAAGTTTTCCAGATGGAAATAGGAGAAAAAAAAAAAAAAAAGCATAAAGGAAGGGAGAGGAACAGAAGAGAGTGACAGAAAGAATAAGTAAATGATGTGATTTAAAATCCATGTTTTATATAGTATCAATTTTATTCAAGATGCTTTGGCTTACAATATGAGTCATTCCTTTAATCCACTTTAGTGAAAGGTGTTTCAATTAATGAGGCTTTGTTTTAGTTTTTAAAATTTATTTACCATTTTTAGATAGGAATATCTACCTTCCGCTGGATATTATTCATAAGATGTCACTGACCCATATATATTTTAAGTTTGATGTCAGCTATATTGATGTAAATTAGTTTAATTATTTAATTAGTCTATTAATAGCTATTAATTAATAGACTTAGCCAGGAAAACTTAATCCCACAAAGGATGCAGTGAACCAGTCACTGGGTTTATCAAGCAAGGTACTCAGAGACATCAAGATACACATATAATGCCATTTGATCAATGTTCACAGCTCCTCTGAACCCTCTCTGTGACAAATAGAGAACACTGTACAGCTGCTTCTCCCTCCTCTCTAGATGCAGAAAACTTAAATTGCATGCATATTTCTTATGAAATTAGGTGAGTTTAATAACCTGTTTGCAATATCCCTTGTCTTTTGCTGTATGCAACAAAGAAATTTTTAAGGAACTTGTAACACTTTAATGTAATGATTCCCCTGGAAATCTCCATCTCTCAAGAGTATCAGTGACTGTAGAATAAGTTTGTGTGTGTTTCCTAAACAACAGGTAGCACCACAAGCAGAAAGCATTATTAGAATGGCAAGCAAATAACTAAACCACCGTGTTCAGCTTTGAAGGAGATTCTTGCCAGCTAGGATGATTTTATTTTGGAGGGTTTGGTTTTGGTTTCTTCACTCATTTTCTGCAGTATTTTGTTATGACACAGGGTGATGTCATTTGGCACCCATGGGCATAATTTACCTGAATGTATAAAAACCAACTTTTTGCTGTCTTTTAATAAGACTAGGCAAGCAAATAAAGCACTGTTATGGTTAGCTGTATTTCAGGGTCCTTTTTCTGTTTACAAAGAATTGAAAGATAACAAGACATGTCAAGTACTACCTACTTCAAGCAAGGGAACAGTTCATTTGGAAAAATGGAACACCATAATTATTTTTATAGTAGGAGAGGATGTTACAAGGAGATGTAAACAATGTTAACAACACACTTGGGGTAAGAAAAATCTCCATATAATTATTCTGAGCAGAATCTACAATGTTTTTGAGAAAAGATTTTGAGAAAAATGTTCATTCTGTTGTTATACCTGCACTGCATACTACATTGCATCATTTGCAGTATTACTAAAAGAAATACCCCAACACTAACAGGTGCCAACTGGCTTCTCCAAAAGCACATTGCCATTAAGAGAGAAATGTTCAAACCAAAAATGTATTTTAGAGAAGTACAGATATTTCCTTCCCAATGCATGAGGCCTCTAACATAGGAAGAACATTGACATGCTGGAGCAGTCCAGAGAGCCACAAAGTTGATCACAGGGCTGGAGCACTTCTCTTACGAAGACAGGCTGAGGGAATTGGGGTTTTCAGCCTGGAGAAGATAAGGCTCCAGGAAAACCCTATACAGGCTGTCCACACTTACAGGGAGCTTATAAGAAAGATGGAGAGAGACCTTTCATCAAAGCCTGCAGTGACAGAACATGGGTAAATGGTTTTAAATTGAAAGAGAATAGACTAATATTGGATATAAGGAAGAAGTTTTTCACAGTGATGATGGTGAGTCACTAGAATAGATTGTCAAGAGAAATTGTGAATGTTCCATTGTTGGAAGTGTTCAAGGTCTGGTTGGATGGGGCTTTGAGCATCTACTGCAAGATGTTCCTGCCCATGTCAGTGGGGCTGCTCAGGGTAATCTTTAAAGGTCCCTTCAACACAAATCATTCTATGAATAAAGACCACTCAAAAAGTGTTTTCTTGCTGAACTGTGAGTGAATCAGTACTATGTTGGGAGCTCAGTGCTGCTTCTCCATCTCTGTGGTGTTCTGTCCCTGTGAATGTTTGAAAGAACCAGAAAAACTTCACTAAGCAGAAAGAAATGATAACATGGTATTCCAGGCACAAATAGAACTTTTTTTTTTTTTCAGTCTCCCCTACATTTCTTAAAAATTTGAAGAACTTCATTAGCAACTTCTGTGCCCATTTCTAAGCAGGACTGCACAGATTTTTCAGATGTACTGAAAACTCATAAATCCATTACATTTTATTCATACTGCTCTGGCTCAAATGGTTTTGAGGGTATTCAGTACATCAGAAAACCAAGCCGAATATTTAGACATGAAATCAAGCCACTCCATAAATTCCTCCACTTGAGGCAGTTACTGCTGTTGCATATCTATGTTCATTCAACCCAGTGCACTTAGAGCTAGTAGGGATTAAACAAACCTAGATTTTATCTTATATCTAAATGGTGTCAAATTTAAGGCTCCAAAAATTAAATGAATAAAAATGTATCCCAGGTGCACTCACTTACAGTTCTTAAGTCTTTTCTTATAAACTAATTAATTACAGAGGTGAGTTACATTTCTGGGGTAATTTTTTTTTTTTTCACCAGGAATTAAACCACCACCAAAAATTGCATGTAACACTCAAGGACTTGGAATGGCTCTTTCAAACATGTGAGGCAGTCTTGAGAAGACTCTTTCTTAAAAAAAGTATATTAAACACTGGGCACTGCTTATTTAACATTTTCCACTGATGCATAGTGAGTCCAAACAATATTATCAGAAAGCAGCTTTATCAGGGACCAGATAGTCTCCTGGCAAACCTGTTTGTGAACTTCCTTTGAGGCATATATTACTGCATGTCAGCCATGGAAGCCACTATTGTTCCTGCCTCACTGAGTCAGAGTTCTGGAAACTGTAATTTCAGTGCAGCACCCGCTTTACCGACTGCTTTTTTAAGACCTTAATTTAGTGGCATGGTGATAATTCCCTGTTGCCATTAAAACATTGGAGCAGATTTGATTTGCTGCGCTGTTTATGCCATCTGTCAACACGGGTATTTTATAACAACTTCATTTTCAAGTGACACCCGAACTCAGCTCCTAGGAAAGCAAGAATAAAGATGTTCCAGGAAATGAAAATAGGGACATTTATGAATAGCAAGGAATTTCAGGATTTGTGTGGAGCTCTGGAGTACTGGTTCAGGGGGGAAAGGGAGCATGAATGTCTCTACACATATAGCTACTAATGGAGCTCAGCCTGAGTAACAAGAAAGCTGTCAGAATCCATTCAGCAAACTGTATGTAGCCAGAAAGGAGCTGAAGATGCCATCCTCTTTACCAAATGCCATTTACCTTTATTTGGCAGAGAATACTTGAATGACAAGAAGTGTCCACTCAGTGCAGGACATGAAATGCTTTGCTTCTTTTCTTAAAGAGAGTTCAATGAGTATTAATGATAATGATGATGATGATAAATGAGAAACCTGAATACAGAAAATTCATCAAGGTTTAACTGTAAAAGCTAGAAACATAATGGAAAATAATTTGGAAGAAAAGGGGCAAAGTCAGGATGGAAAAACCTTTTCATTAGGTTGAGCTGGAGTATGACAATCAAAAGCATTAAAATGCACAGCACATGTAATTTAAACCAATAATTTCCTAGTTTTTTGGCTCTGTAAGAGCATGTAAAGAGCAGATTTTTGGAAATAAAAGGCATTCCAGAAATCTGAAATTATTTTGTAAATACCATGTAATGATTTAGCTCAGTTAAAAGGTTTATTAATTCAGCTAAATAAAAGGTTAATCTGGAAAATTAAATAGAAAATTGAAGAGGCAGAACTCTTTTCTGAATTCAACCATTAAGGAAGGACCATCAAATTATGAAAGGATTAAGATAGTTGCTAGGAAGTTTGAATTACTAAAAGAAGAATTAGAACATTTTAAAGTGGAATTTCTTTCCAAGGTGAGATAGGAAGTAAAAAATAATTATAAATACAATATTAAAAAACATCATGAAACCTTGTGTCTGTCCAGCTGAAAAGTAACTCTAATTTTAGAATGATTTTTGGAGGAAGAAAAATTTATCTTTGTGCTTGGTCTGGTTTTGCCTCTCTTTACAACAGAGCAGGCTCCAGTTTGTTTCCTTCACTGTTCACTTTCTTGCCACACTGTGCTGTCTGGGGAAAGACTGAATTTTCCTTCCTTTGTTATTTTCCACTTTTAAATGCAAAACTTAATCACAGCTCAAAATGCTTATGAAGTTCACGTGAAGTGTCACTGTGAGTGACTATGGTATGCATTTATAAGGTATTTGAATAGCGTTGGTACTTATCACTTAGCTTAGTAGTCCTGATAATATATCTGAATTCTAGCATAAATATATTCTCTGTATTTATCCTTTACTTAAATATTGCTGTACTTCAGAACAGGAGGAAAATTTGATTAGTCAGAAGAGGATTTGCTCCCATCTTGCTCTTGTAAAATAAAAATATCTGACTAGCTGAATACAAGGATTTGAAACTAAAATCAGCCTGTACTATTTTAAAGTTTATAAACAATTTGGATGTTACAAAGGCATAATTAATAGTTGACACAACACTGAATTCCACCACTGTTTTAACATTGTGCTCTGCTCAAAATTTAAAACATTCAGGTAATGATAAGGATGATTAGAGTGCAACAAAGTTCAGCAGTCGATCTTCAGCATGACAATGGTTCCACAATTTTATGGGATGGAAAGCTGGAAAAATATAGCTACATGTTGCATAAAATACTCCTGAAATACCAAGTAAACATAGAAGGAAAAGATGTTAAAATCCAAGCTATTATTTTACAGAAAACGACTGAACATGCATGAGCCTCAATATTTGTAACTCTGACACAACATTTGAATAGGCAGTAGAAAATAAAGACTCCCATAGGGAATTCTTTCTGTTGAAAGAGGCTAAGAATAAAAGTAGGATAAAAGAAGTGA